TCCTCCCTATCGGGATTGCACGCTTCCCAACGTACTGTCGTATTCCGTAGAATTATCTAGGATGCTCACGACTTCCCAAAAAATATATCTAAATCCGTAAAACTTCTGTTGAAGTAGGATAAATTAGGGCCAGGGACACGTTGGAGGACCGCGCCCCCCATGATGTGGGTGCGTCACGCTTGCTTGACTATCTCCTCATCGGGGGTGTTGGTAAGGTGCAGTCATTATGGCGCTTTCCATATTCTCCCATTCATGGCACTGAAGTTCCCCAACCGAAGGGGAACGTTCGAGGTTACAGAAGTAACCCTTCGTTCCCCGAGGAGGGGAACGGAGGTGCCATATTCCGTCGCCATAATGACTGTCCCTTAGCTGTTTGAAAGTCTCTTCAGCTTAAAAGGATGGCGTCTGCTGGCTTCAGGTGTGCTTATATGCTGAGATGATTGCAGATGTCGCACACCTGCGCAAGCTTACGCTGCCAATTAATTTCATTCATTGGCCCGTTCAATACTCTCCAGATAAGCGGCTTCTGATCCGAATCCTCCCATTCATGGCACCTCCGTTCCCCTCCTCGGGGAACGAAGGGTTACTTCTGTAACCTCGAACGTTCTCGTTTGACGTCTGCCTTAAACACGCAACCAACCTCTCATCAATCCAGATGAATAAATAGTGGGCAATTGAATCTGACAATAGTGTATGGAAAATCAATGGTGTGTGCGTGTGTGTGTGTGTGTGTGTGTGTGTGTGTGTGTGTGTGTGTGTGTGTGTGTGTGTGTGTGTGTGAGCGCTCATGCTGATAGTAAGTCCAGCAGAAACTGAAGCTCCACCTCATTGTCGGATTACAGCACAGCCGGAGCCGCTCGCTTTCAAAACCTCCCATAAATACATGAACACACACACTGCGCTCATGTCCACAGACGCCGCGGGCTCACACACACACACACTGCAGGTAAACACTTGCATTCAATCTGCTCCATTATAGGAACTTATGTGTTATGTGACTAATATTTTCATGCACTTTATGTTAGACATGTTCTGTGGGATTTTCCCATGTGACCTTGTTTATGTCCGATATGTTCTGTCAGCTGTTCTTATGAGACTTTGTTTATGTTATATATTTATGCACTTTATGTTGGACGTGTCCTGTAAGATTTTTTAATTTTTATGCAGTTATAGGAAGAAGCTCTGTAGGATTTTTGCACAACTTTATATTTTTATGCACTTCATGTTACACATTTTCTGTTGGATTTTACTATGTGACTTTTTATTTTACATGTGTTCTGTAGGCTTTCATCAATTTTTTTTTATTTTAGGCACTTAATTTTAGACATTTTTCTGTTGGATCTTCTTATGTGATGTTAAATATTTGTTTGCACTTTGTTCGACATGTTTTGTAGGATTTTTGTATGTGACTTTATTTATATTTTTGCAATTGGGAAGGAGTTTTTTTTGGCCATTTCTTATGTGTCTGTAGGCTTTAGTCATGTGACTTTCTATTTTCTGCACTTTATTTTAGACATTTTATGCAGGATTTTTGTATGTGACTATATTTTTAGGCACTTTATATTAGACGTGTTCTGTAGGCTTTTATTATGTGACTTTTTATTTTATGCACTTAATTTTAGACATTTTCTGTAGGATCTTCTTATGTGATGCTATATATTTGTTTGCACTTTGTTCGACATGTTCTTTGGATGTGATCTTATTCATATTTTTGCAATTATATGAAGGAGTTTTGTGGCCATTTCTTATGTGACTATTTTTTATTTTTGCACTTAATGTTAGACATTTTCTGTAGGATTTTCATATGTGACTATATATCTTTGCACTTCATGTTAGACGTGTTCTGTAGGCTTTTATTATGTGACTATATTTTTAAGCACTTTGTTAGATTTGTTCTCTAGGATTTTTGTATGGGACCTTTTTTCTTGCACTGTATATTAGACGTGTTCTGTAGGCTTTTATTATGTGACTTTTTATTTTAGGCACATAATTTTAGACATTTTCTCTAGGATCTTCTTATGTGATGCTATATATTTGTTTGTACTTTATGTTCGACATGTTCTGTAGGGTTTTTGTATGTGACCTTATTTATATTTTTGCAATAGGAAGGAATTTTGTGGCCATTTCTTATGTGACTTTTTTCCACTTAATGTTTGACATTTTCTGTGGGCTTTTATTATGTGACTTTTTATTTTCTGCACTTTATTTAAGACATTTTATGCAGGATTTTTGTATGTGAATATATCTTTAAGCACTTTATGTTAGATGTGTTCTAGGATTTTTGAATAGGACCTTTTTTACACTTTATATTAGACGTGTTCTGTAGGCTTTTATTATGTGACTTTATTTTCTGAACTTTATTTTAGAAATTTTCTGTAGAATTTTTGTATGTGTTGAAGCACTTCCTGTTAGACGTGTTCTGTAGGCTTTTATTATGTGACTATATTTTTAAGCACTTTATGTTAGATGTGTTCTCTAGGATTTTTGAATGGGATCTTTTTTTCTTGCACTTTATATTAGACGTGTTCTGTAGAATCTTCTTATGTTCTGTTATATATTTATTTGCACTTTGTTCGACATGTTCTGTAGGATTTTTGTATGTGACCTTATATATTTCTTTGCAGCTATGGGAAGGAATTTTGAGGGCATTTCTTAAGTGACATTATTTTTTTTTTTGTACTTTATATTAGATGTGTTTTGTGGGATTTTCTTATGTGACTTTTTATTTTACACTTCATTTTAGACATTTTCTGTAGGATTTTATTATTTGATTTTTTATTTTAAGCACTTCACTTTAGACATTTTCTGTAGGCTTTTCTTAATTGGCTTTTTATTTTACACTTCATTTTAGACATTTTCTGTAGGATTTTCGTATGGGACATTTTTTATTTTACGCACTTAATTTTAGATATTTACTATAGGATTTTATTATGTGACTTTATTTTAGGCACTTTATATTAGACGTGTTCTGTAGGCTTTTATTATGTGACTTTTTATTTTATGCACTTAATTTCAGACATTTTATGTAGGATCTTCTTATGTGATCAATTATAGGAAGGAATTTTGTGGCCATTTCTTATGTGACAATTTTTTTTTTTTTTTTTACACTTAGTGTTAGACATTTTCTGTAGGATTTTCTTAATTGAATTTTTTTTACACTTTATTTTAGACATTTTCTATAGGCTTTTATTATGTGACTTTATTTTAGGCACTTTATGTTAGATGTGTTCTGTAGGCTTTTATTATGTGATTTTTTTATTTTATGCACTTAATTTTGGACATTTTCTGTAGAATCCTCTTATGTGACTATTTATATTTTTTCTAATGTGACTATTTTGTGCAATTAATTTTAGTTATGTTCTGTTGGATTTCCTCATGTGACTTTATTTTGATGCATTTTATGTTAGATATCTTCTGTAGCATTTACTTATGTGATGTTATATATTTCTGCATTTCATGTTTGACAATTTCTGTAGGTTTTTATTATAAGACTTTTTATTTTATGCACTTTATTTTAGACATTTTCTGTAGGATTTTTGTATGTGACTTTATTTTTTAGGCACTTTATGTTAGACGTGTTCTGTAGCACTTTCTTGTGTGATGTTTTATATTTGTGCACTTCATATTAGACTGTAAGTGCATAAAAACATTTAATGATTTTAGTCTTCTTTTATTGTAATAGAATCTGACAGAAATTAAGCAATTAGTATAGTAGCTGTCCTTTTCTTGCTTTACATTCTGCTCAATTAGGGTGATAATTAATAATTGGGGCCTTTTTAAAATACTATTTTAAGTACTTTACCTTTTACAGTATCTATTACAGTAATCCATTCTGCTGCTGATAAAAGCATGAACAAGTCCTCACTGGAAACAAAGCATTTAATTCTTGCAATGTTTTTGAGATGATAGTATGCTGATTAACTTACTGCTTTGACATGACTATTGAAACTCAGATCTGACTCCAGAGTCACACCAAGATTCTTGATCTTATTTTTTGTCGTTTGACCTTTAGTGCCAAGGTACGCATTCACCCTTGAGAACCTCATCTCAGTTCCCAAACGCAATGACTTCAGTTTTCTCTTTGTTTAACTGAAGAAAGTTTGGGCACATCATTATTGCCCCACTGTTGGTTCAGCGTGCCCTTAATAAAAGTGCATTTTGGTGTTTTCATGTGGACGGAGATTTAAAATAAAAAAAAAAAACTCTTTATAAAGATCCTCATGTTCGTGTGGACATAGCCTAAGACACCCCTGCGCCACTTCCGGCTAATTAGATGCTCTCACTATATACAAGTCTTCTTTTCCAACTTTTCAAGGTTAAAAGTTGTTGGTGGAAAGGTCAAGCTCTTATAATGCATTCAAAAGCAGAAATAAACCGAGGAAAAATACGGAAAAATGCTAATTTATGGATATTTTTTACAGTGTGTAAATGTACTCTGCATATTTATTTTGTGCATGAGAAAATGTTTATTTAAATAAATATTAATATATATGTAAATGTTTTGTATTTGTTTGTATTTAGGATATTATTTATTTATTTATTTTTATTTTTTATATATATTTTACATTATGGACATCACGGTGGGGCAGTGGGTAGCATGATCGCCTCATAGCAAGAAGGTCGCTGATTTGAGCCTCGGCTGGTCCAGTTGGCATTTCTATGTGGAGTTTGCATGTTCTCCCCGTGTTGGCGTGGGTTTCCTCCGGGTGCTCTGGTTTCCCCTACAGCCCAAACATATGAACTGTAGGGGAATTGGGTAGGCTGAATTATCCATAGTGTATGAGTGCGAATGATAGCATATGGATGTTTTCCAGTGATGGGTTGCAGCTGGAAGGGCATCCACTGTGTAAAACAAATGTTTGAAATGATTAAAACAATTTGGTGTAGTGATATGGAAAGGGACAGCATTGTGTCTCAGTGGTTAGCACTGTCGCCTCACAGCAAGAAGGTCGATGGTTCGAGTCCTGGCTGGGTCAGTTGGCATTTCTATGTGGAGTTTGCATGTTCTCCCCGTGTTGGCGTGGGTTTCCTCCGAGTGCTCCAGTTTCCCCCACAGGCCAAACACATGCGCTATAGGGGAATTGATAAACTAAATTGTGTCATAGTGTATGTATTCACACAGTGTATGGGTGTTTCCCAGTCATGGGTTGCAGATGGAAGGGCAGCCGCTGTGTAAAACATATGCTGGAACAGTTGCCGGCTGTGAAATAGAACCTCAGCCAAAGGAAAATCAGTGATTGATATGGAAATGTAATGAGGTCAAAACCAGTCTGGATCCACTTAAGCTGTGCTTTTAGTTCAACTGCACATGCTCAAATGCTCATCAGCCAATCAGAATCCAGCATTCAGCAGGCCCATGTGAGTCATTGAAAAGTGTGTCTGAAGTGTTCAAAGAGTGTTAAGGATCAGCGTCACCTTTTGGTGAATCTGCAGACAGAAGCTTAAACATTCACACTGAACCGGAGCCTTGAACTCGCATGACTCTGTCGATGGTCTTGATCACATTAACATTAAATAAATAAATTAATAAAGATAAATCCTCTTATAGCACCTACACAGATGGGTCAGGGCTCGCTGAAAGGACATTTAATCACTCTCTCGGGCTTAATTACTTCCTTTAATCGTGAAGGCTCATTGTCTGTGCCCTTTTTAAATCAATTATAAATCTTTTCCCGTGTAATAGATTTTGTAATTTTATGGATGGTTACATGGTGTCATAACTTAATATAATTTCTGTTTTTTTTGTTTTGGTCAAATAAAAGCAGCCCTGATTGAGCAGAAGCAACTTCTTTCTGAGAACCAGGAAACGTATGTTGCATAAATCTCTATTTACTCTGGATTTAAGGGGTTAGTTCACCCAAAAGTGAATATTTCCTGTTAATTTGCTCACCCAAGATCATACCTGTCAACACTGGGATGTGAAAATAAGGGATATGCCCACCATAA